AGAGAGCGAGAGAGATAGAGCGAGTGAGAGAGAAAGGAAAGCGAGCAGGGGAAACACATTATCTGAGATCGAGAGGAGAGAGAGTGAAGGAAGAGAGACACCGTGAAAGAAAGAGGGAGACAGAAAAGAGAGAGAAAGAAACTGAAAGCGGGAGAGTGAAAGAGCGAGCTAGAGAGAGGGGGTGGAGCGCAAGAAAGAGAGAGAGAGAGAATCAGAGAGAGAGAGAGAGAGAAGAGAGGAGAGAGAGAGAGCGAGAGAGAAGAGAAGAGAGAGAGGAGAGAGAGAGATAAGTGAGAGAGAGAGAGGAGAGAGACGAGAGAGAGATGAGAGTGAAGAGAGAGATGAGAAGACGAAGAGAGAGATAGAGAGAGAGAGGAGAGATAGAGAGAGATAGAGAAGAGACGAGAGAGAATATGACAGACGAGAGAGAAGAGAGAGAGAAGAGAGGAGGTGAAGAGAGAGAGAGAGAGAGAGAGAGAGAGGGAGAGGGAGCAGAGGGAGAAAGGGAGAGAAAGAAGCAGATAGATAAATAGAAACAGGTAGGAACAAAGAGCGACAGGAGGATCGTTGTGGATTGTCGATCTGTACGCATGCGGTTACGGCTGTACGCACGTATAGTAGCTTGATATATTATGGCAAGTATACATCTATAATCTGAGTTTGTCCTGCAGTTACAGCTGACTGTGAGTTTGTCTTGCAGTTCCCAGCTGACTGTGAGTTTGTCTTGCAGTTCCCAGCTGACTGTGAGTTTGTCCTGCAGTTCCCAGCTGACTGTGAGTTTGTCTTACAGTTCCCAGCTGACTGTGAGTTGTCTTGCAGTTCCCCAGCTGACTGTGAGTTTGTCTTACAGTTCCCAGCTGACTGTGACTGTCTGCAGTTCCAGCTGATGTGAGTTTGTCTGCAGTTCCAGTGGACTGTGACTTGTCTTAACCACTTCACTGACTTGAGTTTGTCTTGCAGTTCCCCAGCGCTCCCCCTCAGGGAGTTCAGTGCTAGTGATGAGCTCCCGCAGCATCACCGTGGAGTGGTTCCCCGCCGCCCCTTCCGAGAGCCTACACGGAATCCTGCAGGGCTACAAGATCATCTACCGCCCAGCGACACCGCACGACGACGACGTTGACGATGGTAAGCGTCGTCGCTGTAACCATGGCGACGATATCGGCAGGGCCGTAGCTAGCATGGGGTGCAAGGAGGATTGCCCCCCCCCGGAGAAATGTAGATACAATACATGGTCAATGGCGGTCACCTTCCCAGAACACACTACGCATGTGTCTTTGCCCCCTTCAGGCGAAAAGGGTTAGCTACGCTCCTGCATAAAGCGACCGGAATCACTGTTGTTCACTCTGTTTCAGTAGGTTCTTTCTGTACATTGTTGTCATCCCGGTTTTTCCCTTAGGCGCATATCGGTTTAGCTCCGTGAGCATTTTCCTGGTTTCCCCGTCGGTTTTCCCTGAGGGGGTTCATGTTGTTAGCTCCTAGAGATCCCTGTCATCCCTCGTCGGGAAACTGTGTGTGCGACTGCGCAGAAACAAGAGTTTCTGATTCAAGTAACAATAACGTGCCGGGGGTTGAAACTGTCAGATTCCCATCCATGAATCCTCCTCGCTTATTGTATATGTAATCATGGGAAATAACCGATTTATTGCTGAGTTGGTTCGCGCCTGCCAGCTAGACCGCAGAGTGCTTCATGTTTCAGTGGTTTCTTCTGCTGCTGTTGCTACTGCTGCTGCTGCTGTTACTGCTGCTGCTGCCTGCTGCTGCCTGCTGCTGCTGCTTTTGTTGACTGCTGCTGATTGCTGACTACTTTTTCTTTCTGCCTTGCTGCCTTAGCTTCTGTGTTGTTGTTTTGGCGTGCTGCCTGCTGCTGCTGCTCGGCTTTTTGTGTTGTTGATGCTGCCCTGTGCCGTGCCCTGTTGTCCTGCTGCTGGCATGCTTCGTTGTGCTCTGCTTTTGTGTTGTTGTTGATGCTGCCTGCTACTACTACTGCTGTGCTGCTGCCTGCCCTGCTACTAACTACTGCTGTGCGTTGCTGCTAACTGCTGCTTCTACCGCTGCTTCTGTTGTTGTTGCTGCTGCTACTGCTGCTGCTACTTCTTTTTCTTCTGATGCTGCTACTGCTTCTGTTATAAAATATCAGTGTTTAAGCAATCTGAGAGCATTATAGTCAATTATGATTTTATGACAATATAAGAAACTGCTGCACAATTAAGCCACAGTTCACAAAGAAAATTAGGCTTTTAATCAAGTTTAAAAATTAGACCATATACAATGAAAACGAGCGATGAACGTTACATATTTCCGCACGTGTATATATAATATTCCCTCTACATAATCAACATCAAAAGATTAGACATCACAATTGTAAATAAAATATTAAAGCATCCAAAATTGCGGAATATATGCACACATAGATTACCAATATATATATAGTGCTTATTTCTTAGAATACACAACATTTCACCAGAATAACATTATTTTTTATATAAACTATACACGTATACATATATATCTACATCAACATCACCAAATTACCTTACACTTTCAGAAGGTAAATAAAAACAGATAGCGCCAAACAAAAAAATAAGCGTGTGCTTTCCGCCGTCGACGCACGTCCCTAGATTATTAGGACGACCGCTAAACTTTCCCCCCCAAAAAAGGTTTTTAATTTGAAATTCTGACAGACAAAACTTGAGATTTTACTACAACACGTTCTGGACATTGGGTCTTACTCAACTTATCCCTACATATACACCATTTATAGCATGCATCAGAGGATATTAGGAAAACCGAAATAATAAAAAATTAAAAAATATCCGCCTACTTACCACCCTACTTTTGTTATCGAATGCAATTAAAGATACACACCTATTTTTGGCCTTATGGTACAAGAGCTAATAACACTTAACAGGACGAGCTATTATAATAGCAGGCGCGGGGGCCACGAACTTCAGGATATTGTTTCACTAGCCCCAGAGGGCTGGTAACATGCAATTTTACCAGCAGCATAATTTACCAGCCCTCACAAATTTGTTTCGTAAATCAAATTGTCATTTTCCACGCTCTGCATCTCTCGATTTCAAGATTTGTAAATGTGATTAATTTATGGCTGAATCCTTCAGCGTAAAAAGTAATGTAGGCTACTTACTCATTAAGGCCTATTAATGCTATTGAATAAAAACTGTATGGTGCTCCGCCCATTAAAATGCTGAAACTACCGGCTCGGAGCGGCCGGTGTTTTGCCATAATGTTACTGGTCCTCCCCTTACCCCCTAAAACGCCCGCAGCCGAACACCTCAGAGTCAGACGTGCGCAGCCCAGCGGGCGGTGAAAAGAGGGGCGGGGGCCGAAACATTCATATACATCACCAGAGGCGCGAAGAGGCAGTAGCGGACCAGTCAAAACATCAATTCGTACTATTTCTTATTTAATTTATTGACTTGCCAAAAAACCAACGAATATCAATCGGATTGTCCAGGTAACTCTTAACATCTGAGAGCAAGTATAATTACGTCCGTAAATGAGCGCGCGCAAATACGCAGAATAGATTTGAGGGCCGGAGCACAGGAAGATGACGGAAATTCCGCGCTGGCCATGGCTGAGTCAAAACAGTCTCGAAACCGGCGAGTAGTGTAGCCTTATCAAACAACTGTCAGTAGTTTATCGACACTTCCTTGTGAACTGACATATATGTTTCTCTCCAGAACACTTAACCAAACAACACTTCAATCAACACCCCTTCGATTTTTAAAGGAGCTACCCCCACATTGACGAAAATGACATACGGTCTCCAATCTGGGACATCAGTCTCTATCCTTTTGTTGCGTGGTACGTGATGTCGCTGCTTGCTGCTGCTGTGTTTGCTGTTTGGTGGGTGCTGATGTGCTGCCTGTAACCCCACCAACTGTGTGACTAACGTCAATACACCGGTATTCTAACCCTAGCAAATACCCGTTTCCATGGAGCTAGGTGCTGTAGCTGCTGGTTAGTGGTGTGATGCTGCCTGCTGCTGCTGCTGCTGTGCTGCTGCTGCTTGTCGTTCGGGTGTGGTGGTGATGCTGCTGCTGCTGCTGCTGCTGCTACTGTTGGTGGTGGTGATGCTGCTGCTACTGTTGGTGATGCTGCTGCTGCTGCTGCTGCTGGTGTTGGTGGTAGTGCTGGCGGTGATGTAAACATAGCATTAGGTACAGTGAGTGTAGAAGCTCGTCGTGGTTTAAGCTGGGTTTAACAGTCCGCAGGGGAAGCAATCTTCTTTTCTTCCGGGGCGCAGCGACGCCAGATTGGATCGCACTTAACACCTAATCACACCCCACTCACGTGCAGTTCGTCTTTAATTAAAGTGGATGGAGCTGTGGCTGAGGCGACGATGACGATGACGACTAAGCCATTCCCGTCTCCGGCAATTCTCGGCGGCTCGACAATTTATTCTAAATTCTCGTTCGCGTGAGAGAGTTGAGACGCAGCGTTTTAATTTTCTGTTGGCCGAAGCGCGGATCCTTGTCACCGACAATTAAGCTGCTAATCTACATCGGCCTATAATCGTGTTCTACTAGCGGTCTGTCGGTTTGTTAAGCGTTGTCAAGCGACGATGTACTGGCAGTTATTATATGACGTTTAGTTTATGCGCGTTTGTCTGCGGATGGAATCGTTACATATTCGCACGCGCGCGCGACAACCTCTCGTCTTAATCAACGACACGAATCGAAGACTGCATTCATCTATGAATTCCGTTTTCGATTTTGCCCCCCCCCCCCACACACACACACATACACTCCCGTCACCCGGTCACCCTAACCGCACCACAGCCTTGTGTACTGTGTGAGGGATCCACTCCTCACTATTAACTCTATGGTTATCCTGTGCTCCACTAGCGTAGCCGAAATACTATAACCAGCCGGAAAGTGCTACAGATGTAATCATGCAGGATCTAGTGAATAATAATAGATCTATTCTTATTCTAATTTCTATGCTTATTTTACTGTTCTATTATTCTATTCTATTCTTATTCTATTATTCTTCTATGATTATTCGATTATTATTCTATTAGATCTACTATTATTCTCTCCTGATGTAATGGATAGACTGGAACTAGCTCCCACTGTCTGTTTCCACAGGCGGTCCCTATGAGAAGGTGCAGTCGACGACGAGTTTGTCGGCGACCATCTACAGCCTGCGCAAGTTCACCAACTACAGTGTGGAGGTGCTGGGATACAGCCGGGTCGGCGATGGCGTGCCCAGCCGACCGTTCTACGTCAGGACGCTGGAGGATGGTGAGACAGCCAGCATGAGATATATATATATATGTGGAGAGAGAGAGAGAGAGGGGAGCGGGGGAAGGGTAGAGGTGTGGAGGTGCTGGGATACAGCCGTGTCGGCGACGGCGTGCCCAGCCAACCGTTCTACGTCAGGACGCTGGAGGATGGTGAGACAGCCAATGGGAGAGAGGGAGTAAAGAGAGAGAGAGAGAGAGAGAGAGAGAGAGAGGAGAGAGATGGAGTGAGAGAGAAAGAGGGCGAGGGGGAGAGAGAGTAGCGAGATAGAGGGAGAGAGGGGGATAGATATGAAGAGAGAAAGAGAGAGGGGGAATGAGTGAGAGAGAGAGGGATCGAGAGAGGGGGAGCAAGAGAGAGGGGGAGTGAGAGAGAGAGAGAGCGTAAGTGTATGCGTATGTGTTCGCATAAATGTATGCGTGCGTGCATGAGTGAATGTGTGCGTGCGTGCATGAGTTAATGTGTGCGTGCGTACTAGATTGCGTGCATGCATACTAGCACGCATGCATGCATGTGTGTGTATGCATGCTAGCGTACATGTGTGAGTGCATGCGTGTGTGCGTGACGAGCGTAATACGCTCTACATGAGCCACGCAAACGTCATTTGCTAAAATGAAGTTTGTGGAAGATAATTCACGTGGGATTTCTGTTGTTTTTCGAAAAATCGAGAATAACTACCAATAATGCGCGAATATTAATATGGAAATTACGAGGGTAAGCAGACAAAGATGAGATATATTTAGGGAGACAGAGAGATAGAGAGGAAGGGAGGGAGAGAGAGAGATAGAGAAAAAGAGAGGGGGAAGGGAGAGAGAGAGATTATGTGCGAGAGAGAGTTTGGTTTGTTTCTCACAATTCCACAATTCGTTATATAATTATAATATCATATTAGCTATTTATTATCTATAATCATTATATTGTATCATCTACCTATTATATATATATGTATACATATATATATATATATATAATAACATTATTCATGTATTCTATGACCCCGTTTCCCCCACGGTCTCTCACTGCGTGACTCCATCGTGTTTCAGTGCCAGAAGCGCCCGCGGCAATCAAAGCTCTGGTCTCGGCTGACCACTCGATCATGGTATCGTGGCTCCCTCCAGTAGCTGCCAACGGCATCATCACGAAGTACACGCTCTATATGCGATATTGGAACGACGGCAAAGAGGTAAGGCAACACGCAGGCGCGTTACGCTTAAAATTCTAGATCGCTATACGATGCAGATATTGACTGGTTATCGATCACACGGCACGGGCGATGCGAAGATTTGATCAGGTGAAGTTTACGGAATTCGACACGTTCGTCATTTTGTATCGTTTTTTTCCCATTTTCGGTTGTAGTCGAATGAGAAAACTTGGAGAGAAGGATTGAGACGTGTCAGTCTATGTTTTATAATAATTTCTTAGTCATGGTGAAAGTTGTCGTTCATCGATTTCCGTAATATCTCTGACCGGATCTCCGCAATTTAGCCGAGCCCATGTATGAATGGTCTGTAGGCAGTACAATATTCGAGACACCTACATGTGTGCGTGTGTGTCGGTGGGTTGCCGGACAGTACGATTGCTTGTTCATATTTATAATGCTATCGTCCTAACACTAACCGCACTATCCTGAACCAAAAACGTATATATACGTAACTATTTATACGAAGGTTTAACACGCTATAGCTAGTACGTACTGCGTAGTTAGTGTCAGGACCCCAACACTAACTCATAAAGATGTTCTTGTGATGAATCCCTCTCACACACCTTACCCGGTAGAAATCCAATTCACATTGACGGGTGCTACCTAGTCTGTGACCATTGTCGCGGTGTTTAGGGGTATGTGGTCGTTAATCTGGTTCGTGGCTGCTCCGGTGGCATGCCTGCTTGCGCACGTCAGTCACTTCTCAAAACGTGGAGACAGACTAGGTATCGCCATGGTAATTAGTTTGCTGCGACCCTAGTAGCTAATCAAGTCACCGTATGCTCATGTGTCTGCACCTGTTCGTGTGTAGACTAACGCGATAATAATCGTGATATTAATCGAGTTAGCGTGGTGGTAATCGTGTGGTGCTAACATCGGTGATTGGCGGGTTAACACCTATCAAATCGTTGAACTCGTGTGATTGTTTTCTCGACATATATTGTCATCACTTCTCTGCAAGATTTCGTCAGAATATATATATATATATATATATATAATCAATCGATCTGTTCTGACGATTCCCGGCCGTATATTTACCTTTGTTTTGAAAGCAGACGAGGGTGCACAAATATAAGAGGCTGATCAACCACGCAACGAGCCACTGTATGTATCTCCCGCTTCTTAGCTTGGCTAGTTATGTATGTAACCTCCTCACGTGCATGCCGCTGCATGTTAGCCTGCTCTAGGAGTGACCAGGTGTACTGCTCCTGATCAGTCCGTGAACATGGACAGTTCCCTGTAGTGCGGGAGCAAAGGGGGCCCACACACGCGGATGGAGCTACACAGTCTTAGCCCGCGACGCCAAGAACTCTACGCACGTTGAGTTTCACGTCGTAAGGAGTCCTGACACTGCGTTAACCATGAGAAACGTTTGTGGCCTTTCTCGCGAGAAGGTAACTTGTAGTTAGCTGCATGTACGTGTGAGCTTAAATGCCTAGCATAGCAGTAGCGTAACGTGTAGTGATAGCTGCAGTTGTGTGTCGCATATATATATAGTTATATACATCGTCGGGTGATGTCTCCTGTTTAAACAGTTGTGTGTCGCATATATATACATCGTCGGGTGATGTCTCCTGTTTAAACAGTTGCTGGGTGTGGACGGCGCAGTCGCATACACGCGATATCACGATGATTGGAAGGGATTTCAGTGATTGATATTAAAACAATACCACTCATGTAGTAATGCATACATTTACGCTCATGTTTTTGGGTGCACACACTCCCTGTCTGCACTGGCACAGATATCCACCCCCCACTGCGGCACGAGCATACGCACTCTCCGCTCCCTTTTCGAGCACCCTATCCACGCACACACTACATGCCACACAGCACACCAGCGCACACGCAACATTCACTCTCCTCTCTCTTGATCTCTCAATACAGCACATGACGCCGCACGCACGAGACACTCTCGTCTCAATGCACACACAACGCGACCCCAGGTACTCGCAAACGCAAATTCGTGTCTGGTGATTTTGTAGTTATTTAGGTTATTTACTGGTCCGGATAGTGGTATCAGCACGGCGGATGCCGACGTTATAGCATAGGGCTTGAATTACGTTTGCTTCGCGGCTTAACCAACCGCGTCGACTGCCCGTAATCACCGATCACAGACTTCGATGTCGAAAAAAAGGGGTAAAGTGTCACACTTCTTCGCGGAAAAATTTCAATGATACGTTATTTTCAATCGCGCACAGCCGCCTGATAATATTGCGCGCCGGAATCCCTCGACATCGTCCGCATGCAACTGCTCTCGACTCCACGATCGTAACATTCGGCACACCTGGTAATTCCACTGTCGGACTAAATAGCCAGTGCGCAACGGCGGTTGTTCGTGCAACCGCGAATCATTTTTGTCTGGCTGCGGCGATTAGGGATTACTGTGGTGGTTAGGAACAGCGGGCCGTGACCTTGGATGCGTTAATGGCTCGCCTTCTAATGCTGCGTTGGTCGCCGCTGTAACCGGGTGTAGAGCTATAGCAATATTGTGCCTGTGCATGTGGCTTGCAGGCCAATCGCTAATCCTATCACACTTATACGCCGTCTTCTCGGGAGCGGGGATGCGCATGCTCTTCATATAGCAAATAGATTAAAGAAGAGTTGAGAAGAGTGCAGATATATATATTTATATATTAGCGATGAAGTTTGTATAGAGAAGAGGGAAAGAGAAGAAAAAAGATAAGGATACGGAGATGGAGCAGAGAGAGAGAGAGGAGAGGCAGAGAAGAGAAGAGAGAGAGAGATACCCCACCCGACTGATGCAGAGTAAGAGAGAGAAGAGAGAGAGGAGAGACGAGAGCGACGAGAGAGAGACGCGACGAAGAGATAGAGGAGAGAGCCGGAGAGAGCAGGAGAGGAGAGAGAGAGATGGAGAAGAGAGCAGAGAGAGAAGCGAGTGAGAGACGAGATGAGATGAGAGAAGAGAGAGCAGGAGCGCAGAGCAAGGAGACGCGAGAGAAAAGAGAGAGAGAGAGTTCCGAAGACGAGATCGAAGAGAGAGAGACACACATAATGCATATTTATCAGATGTGAGCGTGCATAAAGTTTGTTTTCAGCAGAAACTGCTGGTGCAGAGTAACTAACGGTAAATTCCCATTCTTTGCTGACTAATAGGCGCTTTCTGTAAGACCGCTGTAGCGAACGACGTATAATACAAGGCAGTTCGTGCAGCTCGGGCGGACCATGCGTGATTCTGTGGCAAAATACTTTTACATACCAAATGCTAACACATTCGATCGAGGCAAGAAGTCATTATGATACCATTGATCTTAGCAACTATGTAACTTCAAAAACGCATATTATACACATACACCCTCACAACATACAAAGCTCTAAACCTTAACTCCTCCGAAACACTCAGCTCCAACGGTCCGTTAAGCTCTAAACCCCTAACCACTCAACACGCTAGAGCCACAACAGTAAGCCCCTAGTAACCCTAACACTAGCACAACCCTGACCCCTAACCTGAACACCTACAACAAACCCAACCTAACACTAGCAGCATAACCCTCTAACCCCTCGACCCTGACCAGCCTTGTACTGGGACACCAGAGTACCTCCACTCACCGTAACCGTTAAGTAAACCGTCTTGACAGATCTTCCTGCCCGTCTAACAACAATCGTATGTCCGAGACAGATAGTATTCAAGCCAGAAATCAAAAGAATCACGCCGGGACTCATCTACGACTGCCGAACATTCTTCTCGCCCAGGATCCAAAGGATTGCTCACAACCGAGTGCGCGATTCACAAGTCAGCTATAGACTCGCCCACTATCGGGCGACTGTCTGCCTCAATACAAAAATCATTGAATCCTCGGCATGCATCTGAATTTTAAGGACGGGGACGAGTGCGATGCCCGACTCAGATTGACGCTGGCGCCGGTGAGTAGACCTCACGTATGGGAAGCGGAATAATCTGCGCCAGGGATACAGAAAGCTAACATGGAGCTGTCAGGAGTGACAGCTGTGACGTTGACGGAGGCGAGGGAAGAGGAGCACGTGGACTTGCACTAATCACGAGGACCAGCAGTGATCGGCTATGGGTGACCGTTCAGCATGACTCGTAGGCAACATCCGAGTATGGTGACGATCACCCAGGAACAGCGTAAGAACAACATCGGTTATGTGACTTCGACGAGACGTGTACCATGTCATCGGTAGTGACGTACACCAGCAACGGTCGGTAGCAAACATCGTATGAGGCAGAGAATGACTGTCACATGTAAGAGCAGGAGACGCGTAGCAAATCAATCTGTGAATGTACAGTCCAGCAGACTTGCCGCTAGCATTACATTCGTATGTAGCAGTCCCCGACAAGGACGTGTGGTCGCATGAGATATCGGTTATCGCGATGACGCGTATCAACAGGCGGAGACAACGGTGAGACGTAGGGATCCAAACCATGGGCATGCGGATATGAGGGCGGAGACTGCCACGGGGCACCACGACGTGACGAGGGAAGTGTTCCTGCCGGTGCTCAAGCGGGTATAGAGGAGACGAAGATGGGGAGAAGCGAGCAGAGGCGATGTAAGACGCTCGGTGACGTGTCAAGGGATTATTGGGCGCGAACTCGGAAGCAGGTGCGGGTGGGTGCCGAGGCGTAGGCAACACAATCTAGATGAATGATGATCGTCAGCAGACGTGTAGCAGTATCGGTATAGTGGTACGTCACACGGGACGTTAGCAGTACATCGTATGTGACGCTCAAACCACGAAGCGCGTAGAAACAATCTGGTGGTTTGACGTCACAGCAGAACGCGTATCTAACACTGCAGCTGGTATGACGGTCACATGACAACGTAGGCACAGCAATCGTGGCTGACGTCACACTCAGGAACGCGTAGGCAATCATCGGTATGTAGACCAGCAGGAAGGCACCGTGTAGCAACATCTGGTATGTGAACGTCAGCAGACTATGGATGAAAAGCGAACCAGCAAGCATCTAGTATGTGACGTCACAGTAGTAACGTGTAGGCAATCTA